GGTTACGTGTTCTCACAAACTTCTAGCCACTGCTGAACTCACTGCTGAATTTCCCAAGTCTAGCAAACTCGGAAGATCGGCGCCTGCACCACTCTTCAGAGTAGGGCTTAAAAACTATAAATCTTTTTAAAAGACTCGGCTGGCTTAGTGCCTCGACAACACGGTGAATGATGTCTGACGCTGTCTTTTGTGAGCAACCGATGGTGTCCGCAATTGTGTTTTCATTCGCATTTGTGCAAAGATATCGCAGCCCCGCATCCACCTGAATTCACGTAACTGCAATATTATATGCCTCACCGCATCGAATTCTATGCCTATAGTTTATGCTTATTCGGAATATGTCTTGCCCGACTTCAAAATGGATAAATAAGTGGCAGTTCAACAGCAATGCACTTCTACAGCAACTTAGTCGTGGACCTCATGTTCAGACGTTATTACTACGCATAAAGTACGTTGAAACGGTTTCTAGAATGCCTATACAAAACTGCTACGTTGCTGGAAGAATCGAACCATCGTCGCTTGCTTGTGAGTCAAACGCGCTAGCCACTGCACCAAGGGTGCTGCGCACGAGATTGTTCTCATGTAGTCCATAAGTCTTGATTTTTTTGCGCTTGAATGGGGCAGACGTTTCGAATAAGCACCGTCTAGGGCTGTTAGATAATCTTTCGCGTCTATTCCATGGAGAACCTACTTGAGATATACTCATGTACAAGTTTCTTGCCAAAAACACGTACCTGCCTTCTCTTTGTGACAGCCCATGGAGCTCTCGTATCATCTCCAAGCATAGGAGATAGAAGGTCTGTAATCCAGTCCAGCTGGGCATCGTTAAAGCGGTACCTATACTTTATCAGATTCTGATTTTGGGAGAGCGTGTTGCGAGGATCAATCCTTTCGTATCTGACGTTTCTCTGACGATGCCTTGGAATGCGAAACAGCACGAAAGCCATACCTCCTGATGAAAGCCTTTTCCTTTAAATTAATGCACAATAAATGACTGGTAATTGCAATGCTAACGGAAGATGGTGTCATTAAAGTGGAATAAATAGTAATTGAAAGTAGAGTTTGATTTTTAAA